AACACAGCAACTAGGCTTACCCATGCCTAACTATCTCTCGCACTCTTAATGCCGAAATAAACCTCATATATCTATATCAGGTTTAATGATACAAAAGTGTCCAAATACTTTTCCTTTTTCATAGGCTATTAATCTGAGTAATTAATTAATTCAATTCAAAGTAGCCTCTCTAATACTGGTAGGGTTGCCAATTTTCAGAAATAAAACTAATCTACGCCCACCAAGGCTTTGCAGAGGGCTTGACCACCATGATCCTTGTTGCTCCTCCCTTATTGGCTGGGCGGCCTACAGCAGTGATATATTTAATGGTATAGCGCTGTTTTTTGTTAAGGCAGTGATCAAGAATTTAATTAGTCATACAAAAAAGCTTAAAATACTTCCTGAAATGTTGCTGCAGTTAACTCTGCTATTGCACAATTAACCCTAGTAATGAGATACTGTGATCTACCACATCACAGTATAACTAGCATCAACATGGGATCTGTTTGGGTGGCTTGTGCAATAATGACCTTTTAAAACATATAAAAAATGTTAATTATTGCATACATGCTGTCAAGTTTTATGAGACACTGTTCCATGTTGGTTCAATATGGGACTCTATCTCATTTCTCACCAAAATTTTTTTTTTCTTTATTTTACTGGGTGGACATCAACCCTGGACACTAGGGCTCATCTAAGAAGAATTAAAAAATCTGAAAGGTTTATACTTTTGTGTCCAGCGAATTGGCGGTGTCAATTTATCAAAAAATATGTAAGATTTCTTGGCTTATAACAAATGCAGTTATGTTTTACTTTAAAATACCTGATAAAGGTTTTTTTAATACCTTTCTATGTTGAAACAGGTGCCTAAACATTGGAACACTTATTTTACTTTGTTTCCAGATTATATTGTTGTCAAGTAGGATCAGGAATGTACACTCCAAATAAAATTGAGAAGGACAGAAATGTTAATGATATTTTGCACACCACCAAGGAATTCTTTATCTTTCATAATTCTTTCTTTATACATGACTATATACATGAAATGCTCAATGTTAATGCAGGTATTATGCTTGGCCACACAAAGGAAAATGATCAAGAATGTACAATGAGTAGTTCTATAGCAGAATGTTTTACCTGTGGCAAGTTAACCAAAACGTTCCAAAAAAGATCTTTAGGCTTACAAAGGTGTCAAACTTGTATATAATCATAGAATCAAGTCAAAAATCAGTCATGTCAAATATTTAGATCCTTGATCCTGACTGCTTTTACTCAATTAGGAAATTAATATACATTGAAATACACTTAAGTAAAGTGATGAGTAGACTTTCTAAGTAAGCATTAGCAGGTCATTTTACAGGTAACAACAAAATATTTTAACCACATCATAAGTCTCATTAAAGTGGAATCTTCACAAATGAGCAAAGTAGGTCTGATCTGATATGACATCCCTTGTCTGCTATTATCCCCTCTTGTCTGCCATTCAAGTTTCCTTGAATGGAACACAGGAAATAATGTTCACACCACAAGCAGATCTGTTGCATCACTGATGTGTGATTTTTTCCGAAAGCTCCGTGGGGTACAGCTGTTTTCCCAGAATACAAAGGCAGCAGCATTACAAAGGGGACGTGGCGCACCTTTGGCTGACAAAAGTAGCAAGAGCTGTCAGCCACATCACTCAAGTCTTCCTTGTACCCTCTCAAATGCTAAAATACAGCCACTCTGAACAATCCCCGTGGATTTGAAAATAACACTGGCTCATGTCTGTTGGACAGGCAGCTTTGAAAATATTTTATACATAATCAGGTTATTGATATAAAGCTGTTATTAGTTCCAGCAGTTTAAAGGAGGTAAGATACTGCTTTCATTTCTGGAATCCACTGTAACTGGATTGTCACCTGGCAAACAAGCTTACTTTAAGCTACTTCTTCGTGCTTTGTTGTAATGGTGGGCCGCTAGCCAAAAAAACTTAAATAACGTACTGGTGTCACATATGCAAGATGTTTGATTGACATACTCTTAGCCAATCCACTTTTGACAGTAGGCAAAATAGGCTAATGTTTTGAAGGCACCATCATAGCCGGAGTTTCTGTATTTTTTTTTATTTTTTTTTTGTCATAAGTGCAAGAATGCCATCCTTAAATTAAGTCATTTTAGATTAATCTGGATATTTAATTTCTGAAAAAATCCTCTTTCATACCTTTAAATTCCATCACCTATAACAATCATAATACTTTTGTAAAATAAACTAAAGCTGTGGGTGAATTTATAGAAATTATTTAACACTAAACATAAACTGTGTGCCCTATTAATGGAGATTGATGCTTAGCATGGAATCTGAGGGGCATAGATCACCTGTCATATATTGTGGAAGTGACAATATGATAAACATGGCCTCACTTTTTATTGTAAAGATTAGTTATATCTAATTTAGAAGGACAGAAGTGTGTGAAAAAAAAAACATTTGTGAGTTTATTCAAATGTTATGTTAATTGGGATGTTTATAATACCTATAGCACCCTAATGAAAATTATTAGAAACCCCAAACTGCTTTTGAGACTCACGTTGGAGACTTGGCTTGTCCTTATTGTGCTAGCTCCAAGAATGAGAAAGCAGCATCCATTTTCTGCCTTAATGAAGTTAGTGACCCTCTGAAAGGTGACACATTTACCGCCAAAGGGATTTATACACTCTGGTTCCATGACTCCAGTTCAATATGGAGGGAACAGATTTGGCTCCACAGGGCAGTCCAAATATACCCTCACAAGTTATACTGTGCGACTCATTTTCAGATGCTGCTCTGATAATTAAAGCTGGCACATAGATATTCAATCCCTAGAAGCAAAAACCTAAAAGAAAGAAGGTTTTGCACCAGCTTTCAAGAAGCTTAATCACTATGAAATATTATCCCAATAGCAATCGATTTTGATTCAGATTTTGTATAAAAGTTTTGTTTTGCAAGGAACAACTGTTTTGTAAGGAAAAAAAAATCAGTGTAAAAGATCTACATTGGGTGTGTGTAACTGTGTGAAGGAAACAGTCTATACTTTGTGCCAGGGTCTCAGGCTTCTTAATTATTTATAACATTCTTACTTATGCAAATATACTAAATAATTTCTACATGACAGCTTGAAGCTGGGGCCTGGAGGAGCAGAATGATGTTTGAATGAGGACCTTTCTTTCCTTTGCACGGCCCAGGAAACATAACACTGCAGGCTCTGGGTTGCCTTGGTGCATACTGTTTTACATTCTAATTATCTACCATGACAGCCTTTATTGCTAAGTCTCTATGCTGAGGCCTCATCCTAGACTCATTCCACATGTGATGTCAATGTTGGGATAATGAGAAGAGATATTTTGAGTCCTTAGCCTTGCACATGGGTTTAATCATTTGTTTTGTTTTTTCTTCTCCCCATGCAGGAAACATAAATGTTGGTTCCATCTATCTTAGATTGAGGCGCTGAGATTGTTTGTCCTATATAGATCCTTATATATTTTGTTTACCTTTTCGTATTTTTCTTTATTGCTTTACTGTCTTGTTTTTTGCTATTCCATGTGTTTAATATTTCTGAAGCAAGGCAATTTATTCCTATCAGTGTTTGGTCTCTGAGTTTTACCATATTTGTTTCAGAGAAATCAAAAAGGCACTGAGAGTGATTAAAATAAACAGTGCTTTGTTAAGATGTTCATTAAGTATTTAACACACTACAGCCAATCTGAGACACAAACAGCGAGACATATTTTTTCAAACTCTAATTAAGCTACAGGGAATTCATTGCATATTGTAGGTAAACAGACAGAGTCGAGGGAATACCGATGGAAATTAAATGCTCTGCTGGTGTTTTTCTCATTACAAGATGAAATGAAACATTTATAACTGACTTTCATTTTACTAAAAGGCTGACATTTTGTGGGTCAACCTCAGATAGACTGAAACTTTTTTTCTTTTTATATTATGATTCATGACTTCACTTAATGTACTGACTGCCTTAAATCGATTGATTCAAACTGCTCCCTGCGGAAATGGCAAACTCATCAACTTTTTATGAACTAAATATATTTCTGCTGGAATTATTGGCATGTATTTCACACAACAAATCAGTAATCACCCAAGAAATGCATACATTATCTATTTGCAGTTTTTAAAAAAGCAGTGCAAAATAATAAAATAAATAGGAACTTTGCAATTGCATTGCGTTTTACAAACACTAATTACAATAGATAGAGATGTATTTGTAAACATTTTAGTGTTTTAGAATAACCAGGATCATATTCTTGATGTTGAATTAATTTAGTTAATCTAATAATCCTATTTAGTGAGTCATTGACAACAGTCAACCAAATTGACCAAAGTCAAACCAAATAATTGTAAAAAAAAAAATAATAATTCCAAAAGTAAAAACTCACTTATAGCCTTAGGAATTGATTATGGCAGAATCAATATTTCCATGAAATCAATAAAGTCATGAATTATAGCCCCTATGCCTCTCTTCTTCACAAGAATTCAATGCTGGAAAAAGACAAAAACATTTTAAAAGTTGTTGAAAGGTGGCTGCAGAACATTTGTAAAAGAAGCCAAATAAAAAAAAAAAAAAAAAAGATTTCCAAAGATCATTACATATATCATGGTTTAGGCCAAAATAGCAACTGTTGTCACACAAAGAACAAAATATTATTACTGAAGTTCACAGGTGATAAAAAAAAGTGTATAGTAATGGTAGACTTTATGCAAATAAAGGAGAGTTGAATTGAGAAACTATCATAATATACATATAAATATACATTTTACTTCACAGTGTGGTGTAATATTTTTTCCACAACAACAAAAGGCTGTTCTACAAATAATTTAATACATTTGTTTAACCTAGCTATCTTCATTGATTATGAACTATGTCTTCTTTATTTATTGCACTTTACACAATAGGAAAAATGATTTCCTCTTTAAGGCCTTTTCCATATACTCTATTGTGATTTTTTTATCTGAATATTCTTTTCTTCTTGTTGATTTTGTTCTTTTGCAGCCATTGAGGTTAATTTGAAGAAAGCTCTCGCTGAGGCTTCAGAGACCTGCACCCAGGAGTGTCTAATACTGGGCCACTCTGACAGCTGCTGGATGCCCCCAACCCTGGCCCACTTCCAAAGCCCTGGAACCAACAGCCCCACCTCTACCCCTACTACCACCATCAGCGCCGCAGCACTCCCATCCTTTGGCTTTCAGGGAGTAAAAGCCAACATAGGCGGCATGGGGGTCATGGATGGCCGCCACACTCTGGGCAGGTCTGTGCCCAAAAGAGATGAACTAGACAAAGGGTTCAGCAGGCCACAGTTCTACAACACCCTAGACAGACACTGCAGCAGTAAAAAGGAGGACCCAGTCAAGGTCATTCCACTGGCAAGCTTCTCCTCTCCTGGGCAGCACACTCCTACTGGTGGCAGCAGTTCTTTCTTAAATGAGCACCAGCTGTAACTCAGAGAGACAGATCAACCCCAGATATAGATGGCTTGAGACTTAACAGTTGTTACACGTTCATGCGTGTAGAGGTATGCATCATTTCAAAAACTTTGATCAGCTCAAGCTCAGTTTTACCAATGAAATAACTGAAAATTAACAGAACTACAATGATGTTGTTTAGACACAATCAAATGGAATCAATCCAACAGCTCATGCATTTGAAAGGAAATGAAAGTCTCAACCCATCACATCCTTGTATTATAAAAAAAAAAAAGTAGTTCTATACCAAAGCTGATTGATGACAGAAAAACATTTTTTTGTGTTTGCTGATGTCTGTTCAGTAATAAGAAAAGGGGACCTATACACCTTGAACTTCATGGGCCCAGCTTACAGACTCTGCCCTAAAAGACCAATTCCTGGCAAAGATGCAAATGCAGTACTTTGTGTAATGAGTGAGCTAAATCTGGCTAAATGTTAATTATGAGCTCTCGGTTGGTGGTGTTTCTGTTCAAGTTCTAGTGAATTATTGCTCTTGATGTCAAGTGAAACAAACTCCCTTGGCAGTGAAGGATGTTGTTACCCAAGTGTGTTTCAGAAGTCTATTTTGGTCAGGGGACTGCAGAAGGATTAAAAAAGAATGATACATTTACAAAACATAGGATAGCATAGCATATCTAGGCCGATAGAAGACTCATATATTGATATTTTGCACTCTAACTTTTCATCACAGACAAGAAAATAAACAAATTTTTAAAATAACACAAACAACCTGCTCTTGCAAAACCCCTTTCTCACAATGTTGTCCTTAAGGTGATTACAGCATCTGCTCCCAGAATTAGCGCAAAGTACCTTGATATTAAAAGAGAAAAACAGATACACTTTGGAAATATAGCTTTTGTTTTGTTTTTCTTCTTTTTATAAGTTTTGCTGCTCAAAAACTCTTCTCGAAGACATCTATTGAGGCAGTTTTGGATTTCTCAGCCTAATCACTTTGATGTGTGATCTTCATTGTGAACCTTATTGTGGTTAGGAAGCTTAGAGAGATTCTGTTAGTAATCCGGTAATACATACAAAGGCAGAAAACAGGTGACAAAAGCTCAAAGAATGCCTTTTCCTACACTTCTTTTGTTCTGGTGTTATTAATGCCAGCGTTTCAAACATCAGTTGCTATGAGTGGGTGAGTTTATAAGATCAGTTTTTACATTTTGCTGGTGCTAAAAAAAAAAAGATCACGCTGTTAGAATTTCAACAGCATCAAAGGTCTAACTAAATTGTTTATATTCGTGTCTTTTTGCACTTTATATTTGAATATACATAGGATTTTTTTTAAGAGGTGCCTCCTGCAGGTCATCCTTCACACTGTTATAAATTGCATCTCTGGCCAAACATGCAAATTTACACTGATTATAATAACTAGTTCAGACTACCTTGTAACAGATTGGGTGCAGCATAATGTATTGCTACAAAAATAAGAAACCTTGCTGACCGTACTAGCCAGTTGTCAGCTTCATCAGGTATATGACTAATGAAATTCACTTTCATGTAGCATATTGCAAATTTGGAGCAAACCTAAACCTAATGTATTGCCATATGCTAAAGGGGAGATGTGAGGTAAATTATGTTTGTGTGCTTTTCCCTATTATCCTCACTTAGATAATATCTCTAAATATAAAAGAGATTTATCTGATATTCCCTTAAATGTTCGCTGAAGAGAACAATGTTTCAAGGATAAAGGGTAGGTCAATTTCACCTCACTCAATTATAAAAATAAATGGAATTCTAAACAGTCAGCTAAGTTATACCCTCCTATTCATATCTGTTTGAAAAAATGTCCTCATCTAAGAACCCAATTTCAGCAAATTTACCAATACTTTTTTCCATCTTGTTCTAATTTCCCCTCATCTTCCATTGTCTAGGCAGACTGAATGGTATTTCTAATGCATTTTTAATCAAAAGGATCGCATATCAAAGGGAGCATACATCATGATGTCAGAGAAAACTGGGTTTTTTTTCACTATGCCAAATGAAGATTCAACTGCACAAATCAGAAACTTGCAACATTTATGCAAAAGTTCCCTGCTAACCTTCATTATCTTTTAGTCTCTTACCACCATCTTATTTGCTTTGTTAAATACTTTTGACAAAGACTAAATTATTTAATAAGATCAAGGTTTATTTTGCAGGCAAGGATCCTAATAATCTGATTTTTTAGTTTCATTGTTAACAGATACAGTATAAACAGAAATATGTCCCTACAGCTGTGCCTGCAACCTAAATAGAGAGACAACACTCAATTCTCAATCTAGTCAGTGCTCAAAGATCATAGGGAACAGTAGCTCAAGTAACTACTCATTGCAAACAAGGTCTGTGAAATGCAATGCCTGAATGCACAAGCTGGTGAACCTTAAGGCAAGTAAGCTACAGAAGTAGACAATGAGTGGCAATCAATCAACAGAACAGGAGGTTTAGGCTACTATTCCAGAATCAGACATGCAGACATTTATTGGAAAACATATGCCTAGCTGAAGTATCTAGATTTGAGCTGCAGCATTGAGAGGATATCTGTGTGAACAACATGAAATCATGCACATGCAACAGGTATTGGCTGCTGGTATTGGTGTAATGGGGAAAGGGATATTTTCTAAAAACACTACTGGCCAATTAATAGTAATTCAACAGTGGTAAAATATCAAAGCCTACCTGACTACTGTTAGTCACACTGTACCAAGCCTCAGATAGCAGCTTTTGTTTAGTAAATGCACCAAATCGTAACACCTAAATGGTCCCAGTCTGTTTTTTGTTTTTTTTGTACTTGACTTCTAGCTTCTATCTTGAAACTATTTCAGTTTAGACCAAAAACTCTGAGGAATGTTCAAAATGTATTATTGAATCTATCCTATAAGAATTTTGGAGGCAAATGAGGGGTGTCCTATCCATTACTAGTTAGGTGAAATCAAATAAGTAGTCAGTTAGTGTATATCTGGTATATGTATGAAATTATCTTAACATCACACTGTAATTACATTTTCATAGTTTAATTGCTATAAAGTATCACCTGTTTCAAGTACAGTAAGCACAAAACACACAATTTATCCCGTTTTGCCTCTTGATGCTGCAGTGTTGCCATAGCCAACAGTGAAATAGGGGCATTGTAAAACAATAGCATACATAAAATTATGTGGATTTCAATACAAACTTAAATTCCTACTTTTTTTCCCCCCTAAAATCTGATGTGTGGTTTAATTGAAGTGTTCCTATATTTTAAGTGATTGTTTTATTGATTATTTAAGAACTAAAGGCATTTAATTTAAACGTTCACTGTTATTATTTTTCAACATAAGAAAGATCTCAGGAGGTAATCTATTTCAAGATTGCTTTGTCTCTTGAATTACTGGAGAAGTCCAAAATGGTCACATGGTCACTTTGCATGATTCTCCTTTCACCATTCCCATAATGTTTTTTTTTACATTTCAATGCAAACTGAAAACAAAAAAAATATTCTAAAAAAGAAAGAAAATGGCAAAGTCTTGCTTCCTTTTTCTAAATCCTTGTTAAGAATGAGTGTTATTGATCGCCATGTCAACTCTGTGTCATAGTTTGCATGAACTGTTTGGACTCTGATGAGACATTTTGATATTTGTGGACTGCGTGCTTCAGGCATCCACATATTTAGAATCAGTGTCTGTGTAGATATTGACTTCTCTCCCAGTTCCTTTGCTTAATGGAGCAAGAGCAACGTTATACAATGTACACATTGAAACCTTGTCATGTTACCATACCACTTATACCTCTAAAGATTCACAAATTTTAAATATCTATACAGTCAGTTGGTCTGGATTTAAATTGTACATAGCAGTTAAGCTAAGGTACCGGTAAGTGGTTGCAAACTTGAAAGACTTAAAGAACTGACATTTACTTTGTTCACAGCAAGCAAACCATGAAAAACGTAAGTGATGAGATGACAATCTCTGTTGTAATATAAATGATCACATATGCATAATATACATGAGACTGAATGTGTTTATAGGTGATCTTATGTATGTGCAAGAGAGCATGTCTCCTTGCAAGTGTGCTAGTAATATGCAAATTTGCCGGACAATTTTAGGTACAAAATGTATCTTGTATAAAAAGAATATAAAACATGATAAAAGACTTTGGTATATGCTTGTAAATTAGTAATGTGTGAGTCAGGTAAAGTTTGCTTTGAGAGAACGCTTCAGTGCTTGCCAGCAAATCTGTATTAGTCCATTAAAGCTATACAGTCTGTGTTGTCATGCCTTTGTAAGATATTCCACTTAATTCTATGAAAAAAAGCTAAACTTGTATATGGTTAAATGATTTTTCATGTCGATGAATTTTAATTGAGACATTAAATATTGAGACCTTAAAGAATCCATTGTTTTTACTTTTTGCTTGCTGTTTCTGTAACGAATTGAACGAGAGGACCTAAAGACAGCCAGACAACTGATAGCGACAGTTTATTAAAGGTGGACTGTGGTAATTTGGGGAAGAATCAACAGTGTCTGCGACAGGGACCTCTGGGAGCAGAGATGAAAGGTTAGTGACCTAACCTTCTCACAATCCGGGAATTGACTTGTAAGTTAGGCCGAAGCTCCAGTGACAGGTTACGTCTCTGGTGATAATCTCCTTGATCCGAAATATGATCGGGGCGGAATCAGGGATCAAGCTCATAGGACAGGCAGAAAAGCAGCTAGTGTATAAGGAATGTGCACAAGGTCAGAGCTGGGTAATCAGGGTACCCAAGACAAATTCCAGAGGCAGGGTCAGGGCACAGAAACAGGTCACAGATCCAGATAATCCAAACAATCAGGTCCAATAGGGGTTAGACAGGCTTAGAGAAACCTGAGGAGAAACAGGACAAAAAGAGGCAGGTAGACAAAACTGAATCCTGGACTAACTCACCAAATGGCTCAAATAATCTGGCACTGATGTCTGTTCTGAGGACAGGTTAATTAGTGGCTGGTGTAGGTGTATCTGATGAGACTTAATGAGAAACAGGGTGGAGCTTGACAGGTGTGTAGAACAAGAGATTAGACCAGCATCAATGCCGAGATCATGACAGTTTCATACTGTTGGAGCAGATCTTTCTGACAGCTCTTGTTTGGTCTCCGTGATGTAATGTATTGTGGTGATATTTTGTCACTGTGATTTTCACATTACTGGTAAAATAACAAGTAAACTAAGAAGAAAGTGGGATAAAGCAGGTTTTGGCAAAGTCTTCAGGGACCAAAACAATACTCCTGAGAAAATCATTAATATAATGAAACCTTTATCGAAGCAAAAAAATTACATAGATATCCACCTACTTTAGGATTATTTATACTTTGTTCAGAAATTGCACCTAAAATGAAGAGGGAATCACCTAATTACTTAGTAGTGCGTATCTGTATTCTGTCCCGGAATAAACGCTGTTGTTCTATAAAGGCGCATCAGTTGTTTTTCATTGAACATTAGTGGAAAACTCAACATCACACTAGACAGTTGATGTATAAAGTTGTGGAAAAGTAAAATGCAGAGTTAGGTTCTAAAACACTTGTCCATCTGTAAATCTTGCAGAAAACTACCAGAGAACTACTTAAACTCATCATTTAAGTCCAGCTAAACCCCAGATTCTTATCAGAACTGGACAGGGCTACATATTGAGAAATCAAAGAACAACCAGGTCCTCAACCCCATTAAAAGATTCTAAACTGGTGGCTTTAAGGTTGCAAAAATTTATTACTAAGCCAACCTTACAGAATTCATTTGTATTTATTAAGACAAAATGTTTCATAAATTTCTTCATATACTTGATCAATGCTGCATTTTTTTTCACATCAATGCCAGTGAAAAGATTTCTCAAACATTTCCAAAATGTAGAAGAAGGGCAAAGTGCCTTACTCTATAATCATGATTTTTATAAGGGCATGCTAAGGAACAAAAGGGTTTTGTCAAACTGACCCACAGATATTTTCTCTTTTAAAATATCTTTACTGGCACAGAAAAATCTTGAAAAGGTTTTCGTAAACAGTAATTGTAAACAGTTCTTTAATTGGAACATTATCATTTAAAATAGTTATTTTCTTAAATGAATGTATTTTACAGGGACAGCAACTATGTATAATTGCTTACTATATTTATTATTAACGCCAAGTCTTTTCAACAAATAAAGACAAAAAGTTGTTTGCCCATACTTGCTGATTTTGTTGAATTTGATAACAAACAAGATTGATTTATGTAGTTCTGGTTCAGGTAAAATATAACTGAAGAGTTGAAATAGTTTTAGTTTGGTCCAGAGTTTCTCTTTAGTTATAAAAATGATGTCAATGAGTGTTTTTAAGTACTTTCTGTCTAGCCGATTTTCATATCCTCTCTCATATGTGGATCAATGCATTTCTAAATATGCAAATTAGATGATGATGTCCTCCTGTAATTTTTAAAAAAAAATTTTAAGACAGCCACTAGTGACTTTCCTTGCTGAGCAGTTGGCAAAAGAAAAAAAAAAAATAAGAGTAGGATCATAATGCTGAAAAACTAAAATGCACAGATAAAGTTGTAAGGTCTACTTTCTCACTGAAAAACAACATAAGAATACTTTTTTTCTAATCATCACAGCAGATAAATATAGACTACACTCCCAATTCCATCTTGCAATGTAGTCTACACAGGAGAGCAGATACGTGTGTCATAGCTTTGCTTGACCAGGTCTGACTTTCATAGGCAGAAGCATCCTTTAGGCATTGGACATGGACACCTTTTTAATGTCCAAAACATGTTTGCTGTGAACATGCTATGATGCAGTTTTATTTTTTTATGTGAGTCCATTGAATTCCAGTTGCATGAACTTTTAAATAGTGCAAGATAAGAGCATGAAACATCTGTCATTACCAATTTTAACTGTTAAATAACATGAAAGACTGTTAGATTTCTATTATTTGCACATGTAATGTAAAGTCATGCTCATTGCCTATTATCCTATTATAAAAAAAACAACTTTGAGTCTTGGTTGAAATAATGATGATGGTTGTTTTACTCACCCAATTTTCATGTATATATTCAGAAAGTAGAAGGTGTTAGCTTTCAAATAATGTATCACACATCTTATTTGGGCTTTCTGTTCCTAAGTTATTTGCTTTTCCGTTTGGGTATGCAAAATAGGCGAGAATTGCCCAAAATGAGGTGGATATCAAAGGTTAAAAAGGAGCTTTAAAGGTAGTTAATAATAACTTTGGGTATAAAAAAGTTGTTCATGACCAAAGTAAAATACAGAGATGTATAATTGGTGAGTGTAAAGAGACCTTAACAGAATATTCACTGTTGCAAAACAGTAGGTTATAGATTTACTTTTCACCTTTTAATGTTTCAGTGAGCAGTGACTGAGTCTTAATACAAAAGTTAAAATAACATTGTTTCAGCCAACCACCTGGAAATAGCTGTCACACTAAAACACTTAACCTCTTTGAAATCTACCCAAGCTCACAGTGTAACATTCAGCTGCTGAAAAGACCCCTAACATGCTTACTTGTTTAAAGTTTGCTGCAAAAGTCAGACAAGCTTTAATATACTGCAGGAATAAAGTGGTCAACTGAGGCATATATTGGCCTAATTTTATTTAGTTCAGCTCAAGGGAGTTTAAATAAACATCATGTATGCATAGCATTTCGAGAGAAATATTTCTGTAAATCAAACCAAAAACTGAATGTAAAAAGAGAAGCTAAGAGAAGGTGTGGGCTTTTTTATGGCTCTTTTTAAGCTTTTTTTTTTATCATCTCTTTTATCATCTTCAAATAATTGAAGGATGTCTTGATGGGCATTGTTGATTAACATCTCAGGATTAAATCACAAAAGATTTCCTAGCAACGCAAATTCACAAACATACAGTGAAAGCTACAGTGTGTAATTTTCAGCGACATCTAGCGGTCAGACTACAGACCGCAGCAACATGAACATCTCCCCCCCACCGCTTCTCCCCCCCAACAGTACGGCGAGCGTTACGGGACAAAATTTCTTCTACGACGTCCACATCACCTACCCTCTCAAGTGATGAGGTTTGTTTACATAGATAATTTTACAGATAGTATTTCATTAGTCTGTGTAGGGTATAGATTTCATGTAGACTTAAGATAATAAATATACCCGTTATTTTTTCTACATCGTTGTGACGTCTTGGTGAGCTGCTTTGCATGGTGATATAAACAGACGAAGTAATTGTAGTCATTAGTTTAACAGCGAGATTGTGTTCGCTGGAAGAATATATATCCCCCGTTTACAGAGTCCAAGTCATTTTGGTGGCACGGGGGTTACAACGCGAGGGAGAGGGAGAGGACGAGGGCGAAGGCAGGGAGGCCGTGCAGCTAGGGCCAGGCGAGAGAGGGGAGCCAGCGGGGTGAGAGCAGAGGAGGAAAGGCTTGAAGATCTCCAAAGGAGCCGGAGAGAAGTAACCGAGGTATATATCCAGAAAATTATTTTACAGAAAATTACTGAATCATTACTTGTGAAACGTCAGGGACGTTGCTGAATAAGTATACTGGAGAGGAACAGCATCATCACGCAGCATGTTATTGTTTTAGACAGGTCTGAGCATCGGCGTCGCCAGACCCCATTTACTGGGGCACGTGCCCCAGTATAAATCTCATGAATATTTGCAACAGTGGTACATTTTTTTAATGCATCAATTTAGATAATTCCAACGGGAGGAGACGTATATTTCTACTCAAGTGCGCAGCAAGTGTGTTGTTAACTCCAATGGAGAGACAGGACCATGAAGGTGATGAGGGAGCAACAACCAGCGTCCACAAACAAGAAGGGGACATTAGTGACTTAGGGGGAAAGCATGATGGTCCTAAACAAGTGAAGTTGTCCCACTATCCCCAGGACAAATTTGGAGTAAAAAAACGTTCATTTAATTCAAAATGGTTTGAGCTTTTCCTGGTTAAAAAAGAAAGCCTTGTCATCAAGGATATGCAGTGTGTTTTCAACTTGCTTGATAACATCATATTCCCCACACTAACGCAGGTCATCCAGATCTCCCTCACAATCCCAGTCAACAGCTGTAGGTGTGAAAGGTCATTCAGTGTGTTGAGAAGGATCCACACTTGGCTGAGGTGCACAATGGGACAAGACAGGCTCCACCATCCTGCTATTTTATCAGTTGAAAAGGAAGAACTTTCTAAGCTGAGTCACAGTCTAGTGATTGACCACTTTGTAAAAGTGAAAAATGGTAGGTAGACTTTAATGCTCAATAAATAAGAGAAAAACTTAGTTCGGGTTGAGTTAAACTTTCCCCTGAACTAAAACTCGGAAACCTATGATGATGATTACTTCAGAATGTGTATATGGAAACTTTTTATTTTTAAAGTTGGTAATATCTTTTTTTTTAAAGCTGCAAT